GCAGCGCGTCATGGGGCCCCCGCAGCGCGTCACCGGGCCCAAACGCACGTCACACCCACACCGGACCTCACTTATCCCCTTCACCCCTAAGCTGACATTGCGGTGGAAGCTACGCGCTTGCCTGACCAATCAGCCGCCTCCCTTTCATCAGCTGGCCTCACTCCCTGCGCGTGGGTATGCGCGAGAGTGCGTGATCACGTGGCAAAAGTGTGGCTGGACCAACGAGCTCGTAGCTTCAACAGCACTGACAGTTTCGCGGTGAACGGCGTGGGGAAAGCAACTTTTGTCTGTATTATGAGCGACGGGCTAATCTTCTAGGGGGAGACTGGCTGCGCCCGGGTACACAAACGAGATTTCGAGCAAGCGGGGATTCCCCCCTCTCCGTCTTCTTAAACTGTTTGGTAGAATGGGCGATTTATGAATTGAGGAGAAAAGCAGAAAAGGAAAAAGTTGGAAAAGCGTTTCAGGACTCCTTTAAAGACCCTAGGCTAGCGGTTGAACCGCAGTTGCTGAATTTCGCATCTACAGCTGGAGGCTCGTCGCAGGTTGAGGGGGAAGAAGTTCTATGCTGTATAAACATAAAACAACCCCCTCCCCCCCTCCCCGGCCAATATTTTTTTTATTAAAAATAACGAGTACGACAGCGCCGTCGCTTCTTTAAAGAATCACTTGGATACAAGTAGCAAGCTTATTATTGAGCATCAGAGCCTCCACCGAAGTTTCTAATCTCTTGGTGAGTCTATATTTGAGTTTGTTGACGCGCTACGAGAGTTCGCAACCTCGTGTAGCTTCACGTCTGAAGAGGGGTCGCTGCAAGAAGAATTCACGACCGGCTTGTCTTTTAACCACATGCGCGAGCCTTCCTTGCTCGAAGGGTCTTTGCTATCGCGTTTTACAGCAGTTTAAATTTGCCTCAAGTAGAACAGTCGGCCCCGAAAAAAAAAATGTTTTGCGTTCGTACAATTAGTGTCAAAACGCCCTTACAAAATATCCATGCCGCCTCCACAATCGTTACCCTCACGGTACGTAACACGCAATCAGCAACAACTTGTTCCTTAAAACGCTACTGCTTCACGCTCTCCTCAAGGGAACCACCCTTCATTTCATGACTGCCGTCGGTCGCTTTCAGTGCCGCGCGTGCATTCGCCGCACTGCTTCTCTCGCGGCTCACGCCGGCACCGCGCATCAAAACCTAGTTGTGTAGCTCAATGTGAGCGCCGTTTGTTTTGTGGTTGCGTTGGAGATTTCAAGAGGGTATGCAGCCAGAAAGGCTCGCGATTGGCAGATTACAAAGTAATACTTGACAACTCGTTTGTGATGAAGCCGTTCAAGTTCCTGTTTGTCAACCTTCTGCAAGTCACGGAATGAAAATTGACGTTAAAGTTGGACAAGTAATCTTGCAATTCCTTGTTGACTTTGGCTCATCCGTCTTAACTTAGGATCGCGACGAGTGCTCGACCAGATGTTTCCAAGTCCAGCTTTCCTTGTTGTTCCGCGCGTTACACTTCTATACTTTTTAAGAATGCCCATTTTATTTCAAGACTGTTTCTTTACCGAAGTTTCCGTTCAAGATCACAGAACGCAGCTTCTCCTCTATTTGATTGAGCACGGAACATCGTTTATTGGTATAGACGGTATCAAGGCTTTGAACTTGTGCATTAAAGGTTCCCCTATGTAGTGCTTTTAAACATGTAACACCGTTAAAAGTTGAGCGAGGTGGTTATGCCTACTTATGAAGAGGAAAAGGACCCCAAAAGTTTGGAGGGCAAAGAACGAGGGTACACACAGACCGAGTGCTGACTGAAAACTGGTTTATTTTTGGAAAACCACCTACCGGCGTACAAACACAAGACAAACATACATCGGACCATCACCTAAGGACACGTGTCACAGCTCTCCAGTAACGCTATTTATTTATCGAATAGCGCAATCAAGGGACCACTGACGCACTCAACCTTAGAGTTAGAAATGTAATAAGCCTCGAATATTTCACGAGTCACCTGCTGACTGTGCCGAGCGACAATCGTCGTTTTTTCTATAAGAAGGAGGCACCGATATTTATCACAATGAATGGATTAATTACCCGATGGTGAAGATCTTAACGAAGGTGCGTGTTCTCTGAGCCTATCATCGATGCACGTCCTGATTGGTAAAAGTACACACTCCCACAGGACAACTCGATTTTGTAGACCACGCCAACCGCGCACGGCACGTACTTCCCTTTGTGCTTCTTACCAAAGCCGAGTTTATCCGAACGACCCCTAACAACTTTAGCTCATAGACGCCCCAGTTTTGAAGGCACAGCGAACACCTCGGGGACTCTATGTCACTGTGCTACCCGTTTGAGTATGTGCGTAACCTTATGAATGTAAGGAAGAACCACCGATCTCACGTTAGATTTCTTCCTAGGTTGGAACTTGGGGCGCCGAAGACCTTTAAACTGGTTCTTCGCCACACCGACAAGGACCTCCCTAGGGAAATCCTCCTTGCGTGAGCTTGTCGGCCTGGTCGCAGAGACTAGCCAGCGACTGGTGAAGGAAAGACCTTAGCAGGGCCCCTTGCATACAACCTTTCCCTATCCCACTCTTTACAACCTTCGAGTGGCTCAAGTCAAAATGCAGCACGCTTTTTTTCGACCAGTACAAACAGCACATATGATCCTCATTAAATTTAAGATTAATATCTAAAAACTTTAGCCTTCCGTCTACTGGAATTTAGCCTGTGAATTTCAAGCCACATGAGTTGGACTTGGACGCACACAACATGTTTTTGATGTAATCATCCTTACTATCACCAGATACTTTTCTAAATAAAACCAGATAATCGTTGCCGTATCTAAAAACACGAATCACCTCTCTTTCAAGACCGACTTTAATAGCTATATCTCACATAGAAAGAAACATGTCCCTCATAACTGGTACAACGCTAGCCCAGATATATACACCCTGCTTCTGCAAAAACCGTGTGTCGTATGCACAACATACATAGACCTAATATAAAAACACACCAGTTCCAAGAAATTTTCAACTCTAACACCCCAGGCGTTCTGGAACGACACACATTCTTGGACAGCACTCAATAACTCCAGGTGCCGAATAGCATGAAACAAATCTTCGATGTTAAAAGACACACCGTCACATGAGTCGGGGGTTCTCCGGAGTCAAAAGTTCGACCACACTCATTGAACTACATACCCGAAAATGGTCTTGTAGCTCGAGGTATGTAAAGTACCTCTACAAAAAAGACGCCAAGTGTATCTGCCAAGCAGCCTTTTGTGTCACAATGACCCTAAATGGCCATTGTAACACAATGGCCATATAGGGCTATTGTGTCATAAGATCCGTCAGTGCAGCATGCCCCGGAAGCGTGTCCCGAACCTGGTCAACACAAAGATTAAAGGGACCATGAAATGACCTTTTCTACTTTTGCCCGATAACCTTTACATTAAACCGTCAATGCTCACTGAATGCCGAACAGGCGTCCGTTTTCGCATCGGTTCATTAACTTTTACACAAAAAATTAATGAAATATCGACTTTTTCTTTCTCTCCCACTGACCGCAAAACAAGTCGTGACGTACACTGCTTCCGGAACCGGAAGTTCTCCCGGCAGTAGGAGAATGGGAGCGTTAGCGGCGGAGGGTTGGCGGTGTGCCGGTAGGTTTTAGTTTTACTGCGCTGATGGCGCTGATGTCATCGATGTTTTTCTGAATCGGCGCCTCTCATCGCTGCGATAGCCATGAATACATCGCAACTGAGCGAGATGCAATTACATATGTTGCGCTATAGCGACAGCATGGGACTAGTCCTATACGCCGGTATGCCTGTTGAGAAGTGCGGCGAGTCTTTCGACGACGACTCCAGTTCTTCATCGGAATCGGACGACGAGGAGTGGGGCGGCTTCAAAGTACGGAATGGTAGGTTAAGTTTCGGCCGTATATTCAGATGCACGGAAGTAACAAAGATATAAAATGATATATTTCTTTGAAGGTGCACTTGCAAGTGGTGCATATTAGCGCCGACCGCTCGAGAGTGCTTCTGCTGCCGGGAGTGCGCCGCCCCCGTCCCAATTCAAAACAACGGCTGCATCAACCATGCATATTTTCGCATTCTATGTCTGGACCCCGTTGTGCAACGGGTAATGTAAGTACTGGGAGCTGCAAGAGCAAGGGTTCCAAATGAACCGTGGAGCGAGCAAGTACGTAAGCTCTCAAACTTTGATTCGGCTGTGCTGCAGCAGTGCGACGGCCCGGCACCAACATTGTTGATTCATTTCGTGCGAAATGCAAGCGGTGCTTCGCCGACTAAATGTATTATATTTGTTCTTTGCAGTCGGCTATGTTTTGTTGCCTACCGGCAGTTCGCCAGGTGGTTGTGGCAGAGGCTGGGCTGGCATAACAGGCGAGTTCTACCTGCGTGTGTTGTGGCACGGATTGGAGAATTCGTGTCCGAGCAGTACACAAGATTTTTGGAGGCTCAGTAAACGCCTAACCTGGTTTGGGGGATTTTTTCAATCATTTTACTCTTACCAGCTCACTTGTATCTTTTTGCCGTGCCTAATGAACCTGCCATAATAACACCACAGATTTATTCGTAACATACTTTCAGAACTGCTTGTCCGTCAACTTTCTTGCGGGGCGCTTGAACAGCCAATTGCTGTGGTCCGCGGAGCAATCTTAGCAAATGACGAGGCCAGAAATATGTTTAGACGCAAAAAGAAAGGCTTGAAAGCGACACTGCACCGTTTTTGTCTTGAACGTACACCGTTAAGAACCTTTGGATCACCCGAGACCCAATTCATCTGGTACAAAAAATAAAACAATGGAAAGCTTTGGTCCAACAGTTCCACTACTCGAAATTTAAAGCAAACACTTATGACAAAAATTCGTGCAGGTAGAGAGTTTTCCTATTCTAACATGCAACAAAATTTTGGCACATTCTCACTACAAATGAACAGAAAACCGTGGATTCCATTAGAATTGAAGAAACCATGAGTCACAAGCAGAAAATGGCCACTGATTTTAATCTGTTTTCACATCTTGGCCCGCGACAGACTTCTTTCGATAATTCAACCAGATTAGTCAAGAGTTCGTAAAATTTGAAGCCGAAATCATTGTGTGATCCTGATAATATTCGCCACGCCTTCCTTCGTCGTCACGCTGAATCACTTGCTACGTTCCTTGTTGTCATTTTTCATTCCTTGTTTTCATGTGTTGTTTCCTTAGGTTGGCATATTGCACATGTTGTACCTGCCTTTAAAAGGGGACATTGTTCACTGTTAACTAATCACCATCCCATAAAACTTACCAGCACATAATGTAAGCTCTTAGAACATATAATTTCTAATTACATGACTGAATTCTTAGGTAAGCATGACATCATCTCGCCTTTCAGCATGGCTTCTGGAGAGGCCCTTCCACTACCACAAAACTTATTTCTACTAATTCTTTCGCTTCAATAGTCGACAAACCCGGCCGAGTCGACGTAATTTTTCTCGACTTGAGCAAAGCATTTGATAGGGTTTCTCATTCCGGTATTTTATTCAAACAGAACAAACTTGTCCTGTCAAACTTCTAGCTTATAGCACACTAATAAGGTCTCGGTCGGAGTACGCTTGCATTAGATGGGATCCTTTACGAAAAAATATATTAACAGGCTTGAGCAGGTCCAGAGACTAGCAGTTCGTTTTACATATAATTGTTATCGCCGGCATGACTCTACTACCAAATTAATTAGAACCAATATCATTCCTCTAGAACAGTGGTTCTCAACGATCAATGTTTTGCAGACCCCTTTTGGATCGGCGGAAAGGACGGAGGACCCCGTTCATGATGATGAGTGAGGAAAAGCTTGGGTTAAATATAATACTGATTAAATAAATGGATATAACTAAAGGCTAGTGTTAAGCAGACCTCTCTTATTGACAAACACGCGTAAAAGTTTGCCCGAAAACTGAAACATTTCTTCTCAATCTGAGAAAAGACAACTTTTATTGTTGGGCTTGACTGATGAGGCCGGGCTTCGCGGACCCCCATTTGAGAACCACTGCTCTAGAAGATCGCAAGAAGGTAGCTAGATTAAAATTCAATTTTCAGTTTTGGTATCACAAACTTCGCCTCGAGTCATCATCCTACGTTCAGCCATCTACTAAACAGACAAGACATGACCACACACAAAAAATAACTCCCATATTCGTTCGCACAAATGCTTTTAAATACTCTTTTTTCCCCAGAAGTGTAACAGATCGGATCTCCTTGCCTCCCCATGTTTTTACTTTGGAGAATGTTCTATGATCAATTGAACAGCTTATTAAAGTGTACTCTGTGTTTTATGTAGTTTATGTGTTTTCAATCGCCCCTCCTTTTCGTTTTATGTATAAATTCTAAGTACCGTGTGAAGAAAAACAGCATCCATTCCTGCTTGGGCCCATCACTGGCCTGCGGTATATTATAAATAAATTTAAAAAATGTTTTAAGTAGAAGACAGCTGAAGAGAGCCACATGATATTGGTATACTGGGTTATTCTTGTACTACACAACTCACTGAATTTTATCATGATCTTGTTATACCATTGATAGGGGTGAGCAAATTGATTGTGTGTTTCTCGATTTTAGAAAAGCGTTTGATACAGTATCGCATTCCCTCTTAATCCAAAAATTGGCACTTTTGAATCTAGATACTTCGGTACATAATTGGATACAGGCATATTTGTGTTCGCGTCGGCAATGTACGGTTCTAGATGGTGAAACATCAGATTTTGTTGAAGTTACCTCTGGCGTGCCACAGGGGTCGGTACTTGGACCTTTGCTGTTCTTAATATTTATAAATGATATTCACGTTGGCGTGACCTCTCAGCTAAGATTGTTTGCTGACGATTGTGTTGTATATAGATGTATAAAAAACGATGAGGATTCCACACAACTGCAGGCTGATTTGGATCAAATTGAACTCTGGTGCAGTCTATCAAAATTGCAGTTAAACGTCAGCAAATGTGTACATGTCACCTTCACCCGCAAAAAAAAACAACTTCACACTCAGTATTATTTAAATAATGAACCACTAAAAAGTGACGGTAAAGTAAAGTACCTGGGGGTGACCTTATTAGCAGACTGCAAGTGGAATGCGCAAATTGATGACGTCGTCATGAGGGCGGGACGGGCACTCGGTTTTATCCAGCGTAATCTAAAAAGGTCTACACAAAAAATAAAAGAACTTGCATACCTTACCTACGTTCGACCTCTTACAGATTATGCTTGCACTGTGTGGGATCCTGCTCAGCAAAATCACATAGACGCTTTAGAGAGGATCCAAAATCGTGCGGCACGCTTCGTCCTGGGGCTGTACGACCGCTTTTCGAGCGTCACGGACATGAAGAGTACATTAGGCTGGGATTTGCTGACATTCAGGCGGAAAAATTTGCGCTTAAAATTTCTATATAGCATTTATAATAAACACACTGGTATTAACGGTTTTCATTACCTTCTACCCCCTTACTATATTTCCCAACGTAAAGATCATATCCACAAAATACGCGAATATTCCACCAGGACGGAACTGTGCAAAAATTCTTTCTTTGTTAGGACCATTAGGGATTGGAACAATTTAAGTGTTGAAACTGTTTGTGCCGCAAATGCAGAAATGTTTTGTTCTATGTTGTTCGCCCCCTGCAATAATGCCTCAACGGCGCTGCAGGAGCTACCTGAATAAATAAAGAATAAAGTTCAGATCGTAATGATAAGTTACACAATCTGCGGCTTCGCCTTGGCAAAGCGGCTGACTCTGGAGTCAATTAACTCTTTTTTTGATGGCCGTTCCGATTGGTCGCTCATATTTGGCTTTGGAGGTGTTCTTGCGGCCTGAAACTTCTTCAGAAAGGTTGAAGAGCCGCACATTTCAACAGCCACAGCCATCAGCTCCTGGACATAGCCTGAAAGAAATGAGACCAGAAGTCATCAAGAGACAGACCAGGTTTTACTTTAGAAAGCATAAAAGAGTGAACTGGTGAACCGTCGGAGTCTAGTAAAAAAATAAAAATGGCTATCTGCGTCTCCAAACACATGCTTTTAGACCCTCATTAGAAAGTTTTGTGATTTATCTGCCGCACGATTTGATGTGGAAGGGCCATAAAAAACGCAACTGTTCGTTGAGGGGGGTTGGGAGCTGCAGTGCAGTCAGCACTAGCGCGAGCACCCATAGTGCACAATGCGAAAACTGGCTTTCCATAGCTTGCATACTATGGCGACTAATGACTAACGCACTGTGCTGTCTGCCGGCCAGCTAGAGCCATTGCAATGACCACTAGCTGTTTCAGTCCGCTGCCCCGATGGTATCGCTCTCTCCAGATTCTTGGCCTGTTCAAAGTTTATTTAGCATGCAAGAGTTTCGTAAATATTTAACTATACTTTGTTTCACTTTAGACGTTGCAACCCGATGGGGCTAATTAGGCAGCGCCAAATGAACTTTGATTATGGCCTCGAATAACACCACTCGATTTGATATCTGTGTCAAACACTGACAATACTCGTAAGTCTCGCAAATTTCTCATGTTCGTGATCTGTTCAGGCAGGTTAGCTCTGTTGTGCCATGCTTTGGTGCACTGCAGTGAAGCAAAAACCGCGAAGCAGGCATCGCAATTTTGCGTCTTGCCTTGTCGCAGGTACCTAATATTATTCTGTTCTAATATCACGTTGGTTTACCTTTGACTGTGTACCTAAAGAACCATTCACGGCAGTTTAGACTGTCCTTCATCAGTCAGCATGATGTTGTGCCTGGTGTTTCTATTTTGAAGTAGACATCTAGTTTTGTTTTTAGAGCGAATCAAACCTGCCATACAATTGATGTCAATAAAAATTTGCACGGAGGTCGGAAGACAAAATAGACAGCGTCTTCTAGTTAGACAGGTCAACGCAAGAATCTTCAGATATGCAGTGGTAGGAATGCAAATGAGGTGTGTGCCTATACGCTCCAAAAATTATTTTTGCAGCTCCGAAATTCACTTTTGGATGCTCCGAAAGGTGCTCCAAAATGACTGAAGCCAATCACATCACCAACATTGCCTGAAAGGGTGATGTAATATATGTGCATAGTTACCATATGTTATCTCTGTCTTCACTGGACACACGACATGGTGCCCCTTCCTTGCCTTCGGTGACTTCACTTTCCACTGATGTTCTCCATCTTTCGTCATCGCTTGTTGACGTTCCGCATTCTCATTAAAGTGCAGTGCTGCCAGGCGGGTCCTAAATGGTGTGCAAAGGCCAGGTATTACGACAAACCACAGCATTCCATTTGTTTGGCATGGCTTTGAGTTTATTGTGCCGCTTCCCCCTCCCGTCCTTCTTTTTTCCCAACACTAAAGCAACCAACGTATGCAATAAAAAGATTTCTGGGATAGTCTCTTTATGATTTTTAGATGCAGCCTCAGCATTCAAAAACCTAGAAAGTATTGCTCTGTGTGCCTTCTTTTCTCATTTAAAAGTGCTGTCCAGCTTTCACGGAGGGAGAAGCCTATACAAATGGCCAATTGAAAGGACTGCCCGTTGGGTAATCCCAAATTGGCTGAGCAATTTTTTGATCTGCAGGCTGCTTCAGTTGTTGGGACTTTGAAAGCCTTATCCCTAAACCCACAAAAAGAGTCTCTGAGCTGGATGTCAGGGGGTCGAGTTCCTTGTGGGGGCAAATAGAGATTTCTTTCCGAAGCATCAAGAGTCAGCTGTCAAATTTGTTGTTTGGTGCTTATACAGCGGTCAGTTAGTCTGCAAGAGGTTTTATAAACATTCTTACTTGCTGTAGATGAGAAATTTAGCCAGTGTAGTATGTGCACATTAAAGACCGCTAATCTGGGCTCAGTAGTGACACAGGACCGCATGCTGGTACGACGCTCATTCAGATTGAAATGTGCTGGGATGAGGATTGAACCCACGGCTCCCGAGTTTTGCAGCACGAGCTTATGCTTTACTTCAATCACTGCCGCATCAAGAGGGACTGATGTGCTTTCACCTTGATTGCAACATCATTGGATACTTATGATCACATCATGTAAGTCACTGTTCTGTCAATTACGGCGTGATATAGCAGCCTTGAGTTAGTGTATAGCTGGGTCACATATTCACATTACCCTGGATACGCAGACAAAAATGTCATGGTGAATTCCACTCGTAGATCTGGAGCGCTTTCAAAAATCCGTGAGGGAGGCAAAATTCCGCTCCGTGGGACCCGCTCCGAATCGACGAAGGGAAGATAAACTTGCATTTTTGGAGCGACCTCCCCCACACCCCTCCCCACCCCTTCTCCCTCCGCCGTACAAAATGGCCGCTGCTCGAACTTGACCAGCCCACCAACACCTCAGCCGGCTGATCTTTCCGACGACCAGTGACGACTGTCACTGCTTAGCTGCAGAAGTAACACGCAACACAGGCCGGGCGAAATTATACGTACCACGGCACCCATGTCACAAATAACGAAGACGTCCGCGTTCGGCACCGTCGCATACCTTTCGGCCGCCTCGAAGCGGCGGGGCACTGACAGCGATTGCCAGCAGTGGAGTTCAGATTTGTAGTACGACTTTAATAAACCCAGAGGTAACAAACCATCACTTGCGCGGTCGTTGCCTAACTACTTCTTGCTTTATTTCACGAGAAAACGCCGACGGAATGCAGTGTAAAAAGGTAAACAATCACTGGCTGCAGAATGAATAGGCCTAACCTTGCGTCTGCCTCCGGCTTTTCTGTCATTCTTTTTCTCGTTCTTTCTTTCACCATCACAGATGTCAGCGCTTACGATTTGCCACACTCCACATTCCCGGCTTTTTATCCCTGATCTATGCGAGGTAGAAGCGTTCGAGCCGTCACAATCCAGAGTAAACAACCCACGCACCCGAACAGAACCAACTCCACGACCCGGCCACCCGGCCGTGGCCCTACCGGCCCGCCAATCTCTCCAACCTTGCCGCGCGTGCGCACCGCCGATTTAGACGGAAATCACGTGGGCCGCTCTATCAACTTCCGGAGAGATCTGTGAAATCCCGCAGAGCAAGTTCGGCGGAGTTTGGGGCGCTCCGTGGAGCGGGCGCTGCCAGAATCTACGAGTGGAAGATGACCAACCTGAGCCAGATCTGCGAGCGGAATATGCGCGCTCCAAATGGGAGCGCTTTTGGAGCGCTCGAGATCTGCGAGCGGAATTCACCATCAGACTTTAGTATTGTAAGATACATTATGTTGATCTAAAACTTTGGCCATGTCACGTATGTTTGTGTATATGTGTGTGTATGTAATATATATATATATATATACCAACCTGGCAAGCATGCCCTCTGATGAGAATGCTGTCGACTTAGGAGCGAACCCATTCAAGACGTTGTGAAATGACTCCAGAGAAAATGTCTGGGTGTCGGGCGACAACTGGCGCAAGTCCTTCAAGAGGCGTTTCGAGGCCACGATGGCGGCAAACTTGTCGTGAGCAGGCATCCCTAAAAAGAGGGTAAAGTCCAAATGAGATCTGCCCATGATATACTTCAACTACAAAAAAAGTTGCACCACTGAAGGTGTCTGCATCTCACAAGCACTTTCACCACCAAAGTAAGTTACAGTTTAAGAAGATAGAGTGATGGAAAGGGAGACTGGGGAGGGGGAAGCAGACAGAATGCTTGACAGAGGTTTCTATCTCTCCTCTCCAGCCTTCTGTTTGCTTTGTCCTTTCCAGCCTTACCTTTCCTCGCCCTACCGTCTTGACCTGCAGCCTACTATAGGTAGAAAAAGAGGTATGGCTGCTCACAGTGCTTGTACTGCCGAGACAGCTGTCTGAAACTGTCCGTTTAAAGTAAGATTTAGGAAATTTAGATATGTCATATGAACAAAGATTGTCACATTGCTTTTTTGAAGTGCTCTGGTGTACCACAATAACGCATGCCAGCATATACCTTAAAGGGATACTTTAACGAAATTTGAAATGTGCCCGTCGTGTTCAAAAACAGGTTGAATATGATCCACAATATTCGTAAATGACAATCGCACGTTTGTATTTTGAGCCTGGTGGCTGTATTTTTTTCTTATAAACGGCCCACTCTGGCAAGCGCTCCGAGAAAGCCCAGTGGAGACCACGTGACATCCAACGCAATCATGACTTAGGTCGTCTCGGGACGAGCAAAGCTACGGCGAGGCTGTCGTCGAGAGGATGGCCTAGTCGTTCCAGCCACCAAAGGGCTGCTTTTGTACGAATTTTGAGTGACGGGTTAATCTTCTATAATCTTGTAGGGGGACAATAGCAACTTGTGCGACGCACAAAAGACATTCTCGGGAAGAGAGGAGTTCCTCCTTCCCCCTTTCTCTCGTCGTGGCCGGAGGCAAGACACTCACCATCACTATAGTCGGTTACAAGTCAAGAAGGTAGCAGCAAATGCCCCTCAAAGGGAATCTTGTATTCCTCCGCCACCAATTGCGCCCCGTTGTTTCCGTGACGTCACGACCTGCCCGAACCAATCTTGTTCTGGCAAATGAATATTTTCAACATGGCTGCTGGGCAGATTTTCTACGACTCGAGTATCTTGCAGCAATTATTCTGTTTTTTAATGCGGTTTTTCACTTACCCGAGCATACGTCGCTAAGTCGTAACCGCGTCCACTTTTATTCGCAATAGGTTCTGCGCGACAGCTTGAGAATCCAGCGATAGCATTGCCATAGAAAATTTCGATGCAAGAGTAAGGCCTAGCATCGTACATACGTCGAACGCCGTCTGCTTCTCTGCCTCAGGTTGCGCCTCAACATCGTGAAGGCATCGGCTTTTCTTCGCAGTGGTTTCCGTGGAGCGACGTTAAAATGCAGCGGTCACCAAACTCTTCTTTATAAGTACAGTGGGCTGTGCGGAGGGGCATAAGTGAACCGCAAACACAGTAGGTGTCTTTACCCAATTTCGACCGTATCTTTGCTGGCGTTAATAAATGCTCTGTGTACTGAAATGACGCCTTCGAAGCAGTATGCATTCATCTGTGAAACGTGGCATCCTTTTCAAGTTTCCGCATTGCAATCAGCTGCACGGTAATCTATGACTGCGATAGTACCCGCGGGTGCACCCTCGTTCGCAATAATGAGCTGTTACATACAGGTGGCACACAAATGATAAAGCCAGTGATGCGTATGTTACAAACATTTAATTGATATTGTTTTGGACGTTAAGAAGCTGATGTCTTCTTTTGGAGCAAATACCAGAGAATTTGAGGGAAGCAGATTCGGTTCTCTCAAATGCTTCCGAACATTCTGCTTGCTCTCGAGGCGGTGACAGTCGTATGTTTATGCTTCGAAACCCGGGTACTTGACGTGTGTACCTCCACTCGCGTCGCATCGCGGCCTGAGGTATTACCGGTAAACACGCACCAATTTTTCCAATTTACTTTAGAAGTTAAATGTGTCCACAATATTGGATCGCAGCATTGGTTTGATAATTTGTAAAAGATGAAAAGTATGTCAATGAAAATTGATTGTAAGGGCAGCTTCCCGCTTCATGAATTGTGGCTTTGTTATATGCGAAATATTTGTTTAAATCAAGAATTGAAAACATACCGAATACTCGTGATGTCCTGATCTTGGTCCGAATGCAAGTGGCAGAATGATTTGTCTTTATAACAATAAAATCAACAATGTTTGAATCAAGCAACAGCTCAAACCGCCTAATTACATTTCTGATGTATGTTTATCTCTGGATTAGTGCTGTTTTTACGATATTTTTCAAGCAAGTACAATGGCGTCGAAAGTTCAAGGGAACTTTCGACGCGTCTATTATGCTTCGAAACGGAGCACTAGCACTGGCATTTTGCTCTCCACTGTGCTAACACAAGGTATTGTTATTCCCAGGGTGGCCTCAGTCGTGTGAATGGCCACAGACGTCCTGTTTGTTTCGAAACGAGATCATTAGCAGTTAGAGGTAGCTCCCCGCAGCGCTGATGCACGTTATTGTTATTCTCAGAGTGGCCTCGGTCGTGTGGATGGCCACTGACGTCCAGTTTATGCTTCGAAACGGGTCACTGGCAGTTAGAGTTGGCTGCCCGCAGCGCTGATGCACATTATTGTTATTCTCAAAGTGGCCTCGGTCGTGTGGATGGCCACTGACGTCCAGTTTATGTTTCGAAACAGGTCATTGGCAGTTAGAGTTAGTTGCCCGCAGCGCTGATGCACGTTATTGTTATTCTCAGAGTGGCCTCGGTCACGTGAATGGCCACCGACGTGCAGTTTATGCTTCGAAAAAGGTCATTTGCATTAAGAGTTAGCTGCCCGCAGTCCTGACACACATTATTGTTGTTTTCAGAGGGGCCTTGGTCATGTGAATGACCATAGGCGTTCCCTTTAGACTTTGAAACAGAGTACTGGTACTGCGATTTCGCTCTCCGCTGTGCTAACACACGGCTTTGTTATTCCCAGAAGCCTCAGTCATGTAAATGGCCACAGACGTCCCATTTATGCTTTAAAGCAGAGCACTGGCAGTGATATGTTGTGTCGTTTTTCTTAGACAAAAAAGAGCTTATTTGCAATCAAAATTCCATTTGCTGCGTGGCAAAGATGTTTAGACAGCAGGAAGGGTCAATATGGCATCTGATGTCTTTGCCGTAGATGGGCTGCAAACTTTTGTTTTCGTTAAGTTGAAATCTATACTGGTGATTCATGGCACAGTGCAATGTATTGACCAGCTTAGACATTATCGCAACAAAAATAAAAAGTTTGTCTGGTGGCTGCATATCGTAATGCTATATGGCAACGAGCAGAGAAGCATGACAACATGAGACACGGGAGGTTAGTGGTGATCGAGAACAACAATCCGATCTCAAAGCAAATGAGTGGTCCTTAAAAGGACTGTTATGTGTTCTGAGATGTTCCACGCTTTATCCATAATGGTGGCCTTAAGCTTCGTCAAGGGGCTCGACACCAGACAGGTCACTCGGACGGGATGTCCTCTCCATTGAGCTGGATGACGATGGGCTGGATGTGGGCACTTGTGGCACAGCCTCGTCGGAATGTTGCTTCAATGTCAATAACGTGCCTGACAGCATTAATCCAGTTGTCAGTGGTGACCTTGTCAACTTCTTTGTTGAGGAGTCTCCCCACATTGACAATCTTGAACGTCGTGTTTCAAGCAGCAGCGCCGTTCTTGATCTGCGCCCATATCAGTTCAATGGGGTTGAACTCGCAGTGATACGGTGGCAGCCTGACCACAGTGCAGCCAGCTGTCTCGGCAGCAGTGTCCCTACGATACTTTAGGTGGTGTGGCTTCACCAAGGCCACAATGTCAAGCAGCTGCTTCTTCACCATCTTGGGGTCCCATGAAATTTTCTTAGACGTGAGCCACTGTCGGATGTCATCCTTCCGGGAACTCGTCGTCGGCACTGCTTCCAACCGCCGTGAATGGCAAGAAGCGTTGTCCATGACGATAACGCTTCCTGTCGGCAGTTTGTCGAGGACACCGTCGAACCACTTCTCGAAGCGGGCGCCATCCATTTCCTCGTGGTAATCACCGGTCTTTTGTCCACGGAACACGTCCAGGCAGCCGTCAACGAAGCCTTCATCGCTGCCGATGTGGGTGACAATAAGACGCTGGCCCTTCCCCGATGGCTGCTTGAGGCCAGTCGAGAGACCACGCGTGAAGGCGTCATGAGACGAGGCCACTGTCGTGTCTACCCACACCCTTGAGACAGTGTGCCCTACCGTCACCCACGTCTCGTCCAAGTACAAGATCTTCCGACCATCTTGTCGGTGACGTGCGATCTCATGCAGGTACTTCTGCTGCCAGGCAACTATGTCCTCTCGTTCAATCAACCGGGAGTTTTGTTCCCTCTTGTCATGCTCGAATCCGATGTCGTGGAGAAGGCGACGCACAGTCCAAGCCTTCAACGAGGGAAGTTCAGTGCTCGCGCAGAATTCGGCCGTTATCTTCTTGACCGTGGGGACCTCGTTTCGTCGAAAGAAACGGTGGACGCACGATCTCAGCACGCACAACGTGAACTCGCCGTACCTGACTTTGCGCCGCCTCTTGCCTTCACTTGCTGGGCGCTTCTGAGAAGGTGTCACAACTTGTCCCTCGGTTTCTTTCGTCTGCTTCCTAATCTCAAGGATGGTGCATACACCAACGCCAAGCAGTTTGCTGACTCTGATGCAGAACTCCTTCACAGTGAGGCCGGGCTGGCCGGACTTGACGGGCGGTTCGTGTTGCACCTGAACGTATGCGTTCATTATCAGCTGCCGTGCAACTCGGTTGAGGACAACGCTGCTCTTATGCTTCTTGTAGAGGCACCTTGGCGTAGGCGGCGAGGCTGCACCAGACTCTCTTGAAGAAGAAGAATCGGAGGAATGGCATTCCGCTGTCTCCACGTTGGGATTCATAACGGAAAAGGATGACTTCGGCATTGTCAAAACGCGAATCGCAGAAACTTCCAAAACCCGAAACGCAGGATTTTTTTAACAAACGCAGCAAATACACGGAATGTACCTAATTCGAGTAGGAAGGTTATCAAGCTAAAACCAACAACCATATATGCATTACTTATAAAAGTTACAATTTTCGTTGCACTGAAGCCGTCTTTTTACGTCAACCTTCTGGAGCGAGTAATTTGCCTCGGCTAGGTGGCGCAAGCTGCTGCCTGCTACAAGGTCTGTCTGTAGTCAATATCCATCCATTGAAGCAGAAGGGGTGTTTTCAGCGAACTATTTTCTCGACTGCTGAGGCGTCTAAAGCGGGCGCATCACGCTTAGTGGGGAGGGGCTTCTACTACCTTCTTAACTTGTAACCGACTATAGCTGTCAAGGTTCCTAGACGGGCATTACAAGCGAGGCGTTAGCGACATCCACCAGGTGCTCTTTGCGAATCGTTTAATTCGTCTTAAAATTCCTTTTCGAGACTTTTTCAACAAGATATTGGTATGTTCGATATGATACTGCTGTGCCGAAATTTCGTTGTAGTATCCCTTTTTTTTTCTTTTCTTTCTTTCTTTTTTCTCACCTGGAGGAAGCCACTCTACGTTATCCAGGGGTCCGTGGAGGCACGTAGTGTACAGACCGCCATGGCCATTGTGGATATCAGCGACGTGGCGTGCTATGCTTGCCCACGCTTCCACGAGCAGGTCCCCATTGCCCCTGCTTGCTGCGGCGCACCAATGCATATGATTTGCAGCTGCCTGGACCCAGTCATGAAGTGCGCTGAACCCGGGGGCCTTGCTTGCCGCTGTGATAGCCTTCTTTATACCTGGAGTGAAATACACAACTCAATGATGTGATAGGTCTAGGTCGTTTTGGAGCAGCAAAAAGAACTTTTAGTGCATGATTGCACACTTCATTTTCATTTATAACGCTGCAAATATTACTAAGATTCATGTGTTGACATATCCAACTAGGCAGTGTCTACTTTGCCTTCTCACTAATGTGCAACCTTTTGTTATCATTGATTGCACAGCAGGATGATTTCCTCAAACACAAAACTAGCTGCTTAGTTGCGTATAGAAGCACCAGACGCAGTAACAAGGTGACTGATGACGGACAGCACAAACTGCGGTGAATGGTTATTTTAGGTACGGAATCCAAGTGAAATAATGTTAGAAGTTCTAGAGGTTGTGATAAAACTAAAATTTTTAATTCAGAAAAGAAAAAGAAATCTAATTTGATTGTGAAATTACAATTTATTTTATATCTAGAACTAAAATTATTTAATGGGCTGATTAATTAAACATAGCAAACAAAAAACAAAAGTCCCTGTCTTCTTTGTACCATGCTCTTGTGCTACTTTTCGTTTATTATATCTAGAACTTCATAACAATTCGCTTGTAAACAATTCATACACCTCCATAAAACAGTTCTGCCTAACTCGTTGTGGTTCTTCCCAAGCTTTCATTCATTACTCCTGCTAATTTAGTTATAACTTGCTCATTCCTATGCAAAACTTATGACTAAACCAAAAAGTTGGCATAAAATACACCTAAAGAAGAGTCCATATAAAATTTTTCTGCAATAGAGAGCTATACTTGACAAGTCTAGAATTGGAAGAAAGGTACCGCCAGGATATCACGGTCAGTCGATCATATATAGAAGTCGCAGTTTTATTAAAAAAACGTTCACGTCTCGCTTTGGAGGAATGCTTTGCCCTTAGCAGAAAGGTGCGCTGCAGCAAAGCAACACACGCAAAATAACGATGTCAACTCCGTGGTTGCCGCTTCACAGCAGTACACCAATTTTTGGTGAGAATGCACTCAACGAAGCTAACTAACCTGCCAGAACAGAACACAAACATAAGAATTATTGAGGAACTTCAGTACTGCGAGGGCTTGATGCAAAATCAGATCAAATAGTGTGTTTTTCACGCGATAATCTAAAGTTCTAAAAACTCACATTCTTATAGCAGCAATGGGCCAATTTGCAAGGCCTCAGATATTATATTTTCAGCATTACTTTTTGAAGTCAAGTTTGGGCGCAACGTTGGCACGAATTCCTTACATTTTGGTAAAATGCAGCAAGATGTAGCAGGTTACGCACTTTGGCGCAGTTTGGCCCAAATAGCGCAGCAATCACATCACTGTTCACTACAAAATGGTGCTTATTGATGGAGGCCAACTGATCCCCTTCAAACAATAGCAAAAACGTGAGCACAACCAAGACTACATCGAAGTGCGACCCTATGGTTCAATGGGACTTGTAGCCAGCAACCACGCTTGGGGATATAAAACTCGTACAACTTTTGCTCATGCAGCTTCTTGTCGTATTTGAAACAAGTGTTTCAATCGCTCAGTAAGCAGGCAGTATTCCCAAATGTGCCCGTTCTTTCTTTATCAACCACCGTCGGCTGGCATGTCCAAACAAGCTGCAGTGACAACAAACTCCTAGTCATCGCTGATTCCGACTTTCCGTCAGATAAGGTGCTTTCGGGGTTTCCTTTTGATTATGCTAAGAAGAAAATTAATATTAAACTTACTTTTCGATACGTGCCACACATCAAAGTAGTGAAGAACTTCAGGCTCCACCTCCCTCATGTGCTTCGCTATTGAGCGGTGTCGGTCAGTTGTCAAAGAGCGCACCTTGATGTCCTTGGTCTTCAGGAATTCCAGACAGCGAATAAGTCCCTGCTTCTCCATCTGGACACTGGCCCGTACTTCCTCACACTGCATAAGGTACACAAATGCCCGAATTCTACCCTGAATCATGTCTTCTCAAACTAGATACCCAAAAACTTAATGGTTCCACAAACTTCCACGTTTTCTTGTCATGCCGTTTAAAATATGAGACTGTAGTGCAGAAAAGGAAAAACTTTTAGTCGAAGTGACAAACCTGTGTTTGTTACTTCGGCTAAAAGTTTTTCCTTTTCTGTAGCATATAGTATCAGGTGTTGCTACATGATTAGCTACCACCAGCTTGCCTGTACACTCAGTCTTTACATTTTCTTGGTTGTTCCAGCCTCCAAGTATAGCTTTTCTTCCAATCTAGCAGTTATTTCAGTAGACCTGAACCATACGTAAATACAGAGCCATGAAGTGCTCCCTAGTTAGGGCACTATTTACCAAGTTCGCAGGCTTTTGCATCACTTTATTCTATCACTTCTGAGACTGTGGAGTGGGTTCCTTGGCTGTTAGCTACATATGCTTAGCGCCTTATAATTCTGACAGGGGAAACAGGGGTTGTAACTCCTGGCATAAACTATATTTGAAATAACATGTTTCGGTCATATTGCATGCCACAAGTATTAACATTGACTTCTATGACATCACAATCATCATTATCTCTTACCTCACCAACCTGAACTTGTTCACAGTGCAAGATCTTGTTGATTTGAGGAGCATAAACGGAGTAAGTCAGGTACTTTGCGGAAAAGCCTGGGGAGTCGCATCTTCCATCTCCGCTCAAGTCGACAGGACTGTCTTTTAGCTGCTCCAACAGCTCATCCTGGTGCTTTGTCCATACCTAATCATGAAGATAAGCACAGCACATCTGTTGCACAATTATGCTATAACAAGCAATATTACAATTTTTCAATTTATTGGGATAGTAAATGGCATCGACAGTAAAGTGGAGATGCAGCCAAGTAGGGTCATGGATCATCAAGGTAAATACAGCGCATCGAAGGATAAAGACAAAAAGAAGATCACAGGACGAGTCCTGAACAAATGGCTGAATTTGTATTGAAAAACGGCTTAAGCAAAAAGCCAACAGAGAAGCTAAATAACCTGCCCGAGGTGACGTCTGTGTTCACATGTGTAAACAAATGTTTAAAGAATGGTTCTATAAACAAACTGATTTCATTGAAATCTGAACACTGACGTCATCTTTAACATTTTATTTTACTTTTTGTAAACTTTTTGCATGAGATGTTCTTTTTTTTTTAAAAATAAAACCACAGTTGTTACTTTGGCGCTCGTCCGGTGTGCTTTTCTCAGTCTTTGTCCTGGGCGCTGTCTTCACCTTAACAGTAGTTTGTTTTAATTCTCACATTCTCTACAGTGGGGATGAGAAATGCCGACTGATAGTTAAAGTACATCCTCAGCGTCATGACTTGGACGTTCATTAGCTGCAGCACACGTAATGTGGCTGTTGGGCTAGCTCCAGAAAAGAAGATTGCTGAAGACAGTAGCAAGCTCCCAGCAGCCTTGCCCTTGATGACTGGCTGACTGCTCCAGGTATGGTAGTGCGAGTCTTTGCAGATGGTCTCCACCTTCACCAGGGTGCCTTTCACGGTTAGGCTGGGCTCGCACTTCATAAGGCAAGTCCGGCAGATGGTAAACAGTTCCAGCAGGCAGCTTTCGAAGACAACATATTTCTTCTCATCCTGCAGGGGCAACCCGGATTCTACGGTTTCATCCCTAGAAGGAGTATAAATTAATATATGATTAAACAACACCTAAATGTGTTCGTTGTTTCATTTTTTTTTATCAGCAATAAGCAACAGACAGTTAGGGCCCCTACAAGGCCACAAACAGCTACAGAAAACAAAACTCAAATTTAGGTCAGGTGTAGCTTGATACAGTGCCGCATAGTCGTCGCATGCGGACAAAAAACGATAGCGTGTGAGCGAGGTCGAGCTGAAATATAAGGGGAGTTCCCAACCTGGTTGGATGCAAAAATGTATACAGGGTATTCTTGTTCGTTAGTAAATCGAGTAGGGAACATCAGCTTCTCTTTCACATGAACAGGCATAAAGTGTAGGATTGTCTCAAAGACGGAGATACTAATGTTTACCTCTTCAATATTTCCTTGAACTGTGCCTGTAAAAAAAAAGAAAGGGAGGCACCCTACCCTGAACACGTGTCGTCTTCCGACTGCTCGCTGAGTGGGGTCCAGTCTTCATCCTTTTCTTGGCCGCGATCAAGGTCGTCTTCAAGGGGGGAAGCTGGTGAAAGCAGTGAGGGGGTAGGAAGCACGGGAAAGGAAGGCACCCAGCTTTCCGTTTGCACCGCACAGGCCATCACAGCATAGGCCTCCTTGGCCTGCGTGCCTGACCACAGGCAAACAATAAACAATTATTACATCTCTGTTCAGTGTCTCCAGGCAAAGAGAATGTGCAACGGCATAAGGAAAAGTTTAGTAACTATACATGGTATTGTTGGATCCCCCGAGGATTGGGCCTTCGCGTATGACAGTGACTACCAACGAATACATTCCAGAAACAAACCATACAGACTAATTGGATACAGGTATTTTATGGTTGCCATTATATGGCTAGAGAGCCAATGCCGATGTTTCTTGGAATGCTTACCGACTGCCGTTCGACCAAGCAAAGAACCTTGGATGTGTGTAGCTGCTTGTTGAGTAGCCACTGAAGCTTGCACAGATGCATCCTTCATAGCTGCCTTGCCTTGCATATCAACTCGCAGAGCTACGTCGTGTGTTGCTGGCCTCTCTTGTATGCAGCGATATGTAGTGTCTGCTCCTGCTTTCCAGGCTACGCAGCAGCAGCACTCTTGAAGAGGTGCACTCTCCATAGGTGCTTCATTCGCCAATACCGAATCATCATCCTGGTAAAGAAAAATTGACCACATTATACAACCTGGAAGTTGACATATCGACTAGGTTACGTCAAATCTATAAATTTAAATCATCAGTAAAAGCAACAATCAGTAAGTCCCTACAAGTCCCTAGAGGGAAGTGACATATCACATATCCATTGAAGTCCAAAAAGCAGCTTGTTTATTCCTTGCTGCCTTAAGTTCAATTGTTCTAGTAGTGTGACACAACATTTGGTAAAGTAAAAACAAAAGAAAAACAGTAGTATTCAACAGATTAAATTTTATTTCTCGTCTACAGCAGGACCCGTCGTCCACTCGAGGCAGACCAACAGCCCTGCTGTCTTAACATTCCCCAAAAAAATTTATTTGCGCAAGCACCTCATCTTTAAAAGTCTCGAGCTCATGCTAGTAGCACCTCGAGAGCAACTTTCTGCGGGATTTTGGGGGAAGGAAAGAGCATCTTGTTGCGTAGCAATGATCGACACTCAACGTACGTGCGCGAGCCGTAGCTTGGGGTCGTAGCTTTGATTGCATACCCACAGAAATTTGAGTACAGCACCGAAGGCGCGTCCTTCGGCTCCCTTCCGAGGTTGCGGATCCGCAATGGCTCGACAGTAATTTAGCACATGCAGATCGTACTGTTCGTTAACAGTAGGGTTAATGCACTCGTTATCCTCCGTATGGTGAAATTCGTTTGATGCTCGCGACGTGACTCACCGTGGTCCTTTGACGCTTGGCGACTCTCTCCTGTTCGGGGGGCGACGGTAGCCGAAGTTTCGGAATCGTATCGGGTTTCAGGCGGAGGGCTTTTGGAACCTGCCCGCATTCACGGAGAACACTGTGGATGTGGCTGTAGTCACGCTCGGTGTCAAAATGCTCCGAGCATACAAGAATGACCGTAGACCCGGGGTCTCTCAAACCGATGAGCCTGCACCAGGTGCTTCTACGTGGTTCATCGAGTGGCAGGCGGTGAAACAGCAGTTGTTTCTTTTTAACCTCCGGACTGTAGGAACTGTAATTCGGGCACTTCGGTACACTGCAGCCCTTCGGCATAGCCACCGAGCGATCGATCACAAACGCAAACACTACTCGAGCAGCCAGAAAACGAAAGTGCTCCGCAAAGAAAGCGCGACCAGAAGCAAACCCGTCTAGCAGACGACGCCGACGACGCTCGGGGATTGAGTGCGCAGGCGTAGTAGAGTCTTTTTCTTGCTTCGTTTACCACACGATAGATGGCGCTTGGCTCTGAGCATTATCAAATTCGGCAATTTTCGTCAAATCTCTAATTATGCTACAAAATGTGGATCTGAATATTATTTAACAAAACTTTTAGAAAACATTCGCCGGCTATTTATTGTTTACGATCGCGGTGCTGGTGAGGTAGGCTCTTACCCAATAGGCGACGTGGATTCGGCTGACGTGCACCGTTTCTGCAGTGAAAAGGCAGAGAGCTTCCGAAGGAAAGAAGGCGCAAAAGAGTCCGGTTTTCTTTTAAAAGTTCTATAGCGAAGAATTTTTTTTGGCTCCCTATTTTTGTGTTTTTGTGTTTCTTTTCACACCTTTTACGACGTGCGGTGGATGAAACTCGATTTTAAAATCATTTCATGGTCCCTTTAAAGAGCGTCAAACGCGCCTCCTCTTACCCCTGCTTTCGATAAAGATCCCGTCGTTCTCGCCCAGCTAACCTTGGTACGTTTATTGTAAGCGCTTTTTACGTTGCAATAGAAGTATTGAAGTGCATTCAAAGACATGATGCGCTGCAGAGAAAAACGAAATACTAAAACACTTCTGAAATGTATCCTTTCTGGGACGCAAAAGTTCAAAGGTGTATAAGGTCAAGTATTTTTGCCGAAATATGAAAAACGTCTGTAATACAGTTAACATGACGGAAACATTTGTTATGCAAAAGATACATTGTAGATGTTATTACATTAAGTTAAAGTTACCACCACAGTATGGACTAAAGTATCTGTCGCAGATATGGCATGTGAAAGCCTCGTCCGCATATGTCCAGCCACTTTACTTGGTAAATAAAAATGCAGTTGTTATAAATATAAGGGTAGTGTGGGTTATGAAAGCAAAGTCTGATACCTGCAGTTCGTGCTCTTCTGCCCACTTTTGTGACAAATGAATCGGTGAGAGATCCAGTCTTTTTCTGAAGGCACATGGAACAAGAAAACATCGTTTGTAATTATGGTGAGTCCCGGATTTGGGAATATTTCGGATAAATTGTTAGTCGAATTGTTAGTACCGCATCGGGAAATGCCGCAACTGAAGCTGTCAAAGACCTGGTAATGGAGGTGGACAGTGCCGCGGACGCCGTCAAAGCCACCCTAGAACAATCACTCTATCAAAACTAAACTCAAGTAAATATCTTTGACAACCGAAATAAAATTTGAAGAACCAATAAAATAAATTTCGCAGTGCTTTGCACCCCTCTGAAAGCTCCATATAGATGCCTCCTGATTAGATCAGGCTAAGATTTATACCACAAACATAGACTCAAATAAACGTTTTCTAGACAGGGCACCGAGGATAACCACTGATATCTATTGTAGTAGGCTGGATAGTGGATCAAGAGCGAGAAGGTGGAAGCACCGGTGGCCATGGCTCGACACCGGACAGTACATGCAAGTCTGCCGGAAGAACGAATAAAACTGAACTTTTTAAAGTTTGTGTGAAGTGTATTGTAAACACACATTAATGTGTTTTCGAAGGAATGATAAGACCTAACTCGCACTCGTCAGTAACTGTTGAGTAGTTTATTAAATTACACAAACAGTGAGTCAATTTGTGTCGTCTGCTGCTATCGGCGGATTTTGTTTGCTCCACTGTTCCGAATTGTCGCCATTCTTGAAATTCCTCATTTTCCTTTAAAAAAAAAACCTTTTGTAGCGTTTAAGTGTATATTTGTTTATATTTGGAAACAAAACGGATGTCTCCGACATAATCTACAATCCTTCCCAAGTAAAAGTATAAAAGTAAGCATGGCATCAAAGCAAACCATTTTGTGTGCTTGCATGGTGACATGACTCCTGCTGATTGCCCGTGGAGCCTGTGTAGGAAGTCAACAACGAATAGAAAAGCATATTTTCCTAAATCTTCGAAGTAGAAACGTTTAACATCCGAGTACAAACATTTCCTATCATTCTTAGAAAACTTCGTCGATTTGTCGGTCTCCTAAAATAAGGCACAATTAAATAAGATGAATCTCACTTTTTTACGTTTGTTTTCATAGGTTTCGATGCATTTAATGGTGTCTAGCGATAGCCGCCACTGGTATCACTCAACGCCAGCAAAGCAAGCCTCGATCCGTGAATCAGCCTACTAGAAAAGACATCACTAAGGATAACACTGCACTGCACGTAATGTGCGGAGGCGTATGTTGTTGATTCTTTAATACGTTAACAAATCGATGTATTGGGGATATATCTAGTTCATCACAAATTACGGACATCCTACGCCAAACGACCATGCTGTGATGGCGGCACCGGGCATGACACCGGCAACATGGAGCGCTCACCACTTTTACTGTTCCAGGTGCTGCTCTCTTTCGGCATTCCAGGCGACCACATCACGCTTGTCGCCAACGGAACGGCCTTTTCTTCCTTTGCCTTTTTCACCACCGTCACGACAACACAACAACCGGTTCTGGACCGATGGATAACCCTGCCCTGGCAACCTGGATCGTCTACAACTGGCGGGACCCTATATAAAAAAGCCATCAACGATTTCTTCTCGGGGCGTGACACCGGCGAGATAGAATGCTCACCACTTCTACTTTCCAGGTTAGTTATATGAACACCCGTTTTTGTAACCGTCCCTCCGTAGTGACGGTGTCATGCCCCTTCGACACTCGGGGTTTCTGTAGGCCTGTTCCCTTGTTGTTTGAATAATTTTTCGCCTCTTGCTTATCTCGTTCACGACTGCTGGTAGGAGGCGACGTTGAGTCGAACTCTGGCCCCTGGCCCGGTGATTCTGGCAGTGTACAAAACGCAAATACTTTATACCGTTTTTAAAATAGAGGAAGGGCAAAAAGGAATTTTTTCTCATATGAAAACCATAAAAGAGCAGCAGAAGAACGCGGACGAGCAGATAAAACAGATATCTGCAAAAGTGACCGCGCTGGAGGCCGAACTTACAAAATACAAAACCTTCAACAAAGCCCCCCCCCCCCCCCCGCCCCCCCCCCCCCCCCCTTCCAGCAAAAAGTTGGTCGCGCTTTCATCAAAATTATATGATATGGCTTCTAAATGCGACGACGTCGAAAACCGATCCCGCCGTTCTAACCTGCTGTTTTATTGAATCATAGACGGACCAAGCGAAACCTGGGCTGCAGCAGAGAGGAAGGTTCTTGAATTCTATGGTCACCTTTTTGGCATCAGCATTAACCCCGAGGATATTGAAAGAGCCCATCGCATTGGAAGGCATACTAGCGAGAAAAAACACTCCATCATTGTAAACTTTTCTAGGTTTAAGGACAGAGATAGCATCCTTTCTTCCCGTCCAATATTGAAAGGCACGCCCTTCTCTGTGGGAGAGGACGTTTCTATATCTGTCCGCAATGCTAGAAGGAAACTAATCGAGTATGCCAAAACGAAAAATGTTCCTTTTATAATAATCTTCGACAAACTGAAGAATGATAACTTTACTTATGTCTACAACTCTGAATCGAACTCTCTCGAACCACTACCAAGATAGCAAAGCGTAAACAAACCAACAAAACTGCCTTGCAATAAATCGGCCCCTTCTTGCAATGTCATCAATATCTTTGCACTTTGAATATCAATCACAAATATACTAAGCGTCGTTCCAAAATGCGATATATTCTCATCGTTTCTTTACGATAATGACTC